AAAAAAAACAGAAGCTGTGGTATCTTTACGGAACCAGCTACAGCAACAGTAGACCATGCCAACCATCTTGATCGTCCCTACGTAGCAACCCTGCCCATCAAACCAACCAAACGAAAATACACGTATGTACAAGAACAACAAAGAGTCATCATTAGAGACACCAACGGAAACCCGCCTTTCTCAGCTTTAAGCAAGCTATTTCTATATGCATGAACTTCCGCCGAGCCTCGTGTCATCATCACACATTTTCTGCTCCACACCCGTCTATTCACTATCCTCCATATCAAAAGCATCATCAGCCACCTTCCTACCACCCTTCTTTGCCTTGCTGCTCACGCCAATATCCCCAAACGAGTCATCATCATCCTCACTTGCGCTATCAATGACGATCGGCTTCCTAGCAGCGGCCGCGCGACCAGGCCTGCTGCGAACCGGAGCAGGCGCAGGATCCTTCATGACGATGTCATCGCCATCAAGGTCATCCTCGTCGTCACTAGCGAGCTTCTTTGCCTTCTGGTTCTTCTTGGCATAAGCCTTAGCAGCGGGCGAGAGATGGACCAGCGTCTTGAGCTTGGCCGGAACGGCAGAGGCCGTCTCTCCAGCAGCAGCAGCCTTTTTGGCGGTGACCTTGGGCTTGGGCTTCGGGGCAGCAGCGTCGTCGTCGGTGGCCTTGTTTTTACTGCCGGCAGGACGACCGCGCTTCTTGGCCACTACAGGGGCAGCGTTGACCTTCTTGCCAATGGAATCGTCCTCCGAACCCTCGTCGGCCTCACCGGTCTTGGAATGTTTCCTCGGGGACGACTTGGCAAGAGCCTCGTAGTTGGTGTCATCCTGGCTATCGTTGTCGAGAAAAGCTTTGGTGTGGAAAGCCCTGCTCTTCACTTTGGGCAGGCCGATACCGCTACCCTCGCCTTCTGGCCGAGACATGGAAAAGAGGCTGAGCCTCGGGCCCTCGCTCGTCGCGGCAGGGGCTCCTATACCCTTGACCAGGGAGCCGACGTCAAGAAGCATGTCGTCGTCATCAGAAGCTTCGCTTTCGGAGTCTTCTTCGTCTACGAAGAAGGACTTGGCCTTAGCGGCCGCCGCGCGCTTCCTGGGGTTGGCCGGAGCGGGTTTCTCAGCCTCGCTTACCATGTTGTCATCACCGTCGCTCTCAAGATCATCGTCCTCAAGAACAGGTGACTTCTTGGCAGCAGCCGCACGCTTGGCGGTGGCCTTAGCCGGCGCAGGTTTTTCTGCCTCGCTCAAAATCTTGTCATCAGCGTCGCTCTCGAAGTCATCATCTTCGAGAACAGGTGATTTCTTGGGAGCAGCAGGGCGCTTAGTGGCGGGCTTAGCTGCGGGCGCAGGCTTCTCTGCTTCACTGAGCATCATGTCTTCGTCAGAGTCTTCAACTACAATTGGCTTCTTGGCCGTAGCCTTCTTGGCCTCCGGCTTGGGGGTCGGCGGGATAGGCTCTTCAGGAGCGTCCTGGAACTCGACATCGGAGTCTTCATCTTCGAGGGCAGGCTTCTTGGCAGCGGTAGCTCGCTTGGTGGTGGGCTTAGGAATCACCTCTTCCTCGGACTCGTCGTCAATGAAGTCATCCAAATCGGATTCAGAATCCTCATCAACGATAGGCTTCTTGGCTCCTGCAGCACGCCTCGCGGGCTTTGCTACAGGTCGCTCAGATTGTTCTGCCGCTGAAACCGAAGCCGAAGCCGACGTGGTCGTTTTCTCAGAAGTTGTGGTAGCCTTTGCGATGTCCAAGAAGTCATCGTCCGAATCTTCATCACTGAGCGCATAAGTCTTAGGCTTCGCTATGGTGGCACGCTTGGCGCGCACACTGGCGATGGTAGTAACGGGCTCCGCATCCTCATCCTTCTTTTTGGCTGCAGCCGGGGCCTTCTTGTTCAACAAGTCGAAGTCATCGTCCGAGAGGTCATCAGCTCCGTCGGTGAAAGCGGTCGACTTAGGCTTGGGTTTCGCCATCCCAGAGAACTTCTCTAGAAAACGCTGCTGTGTCTTGATTGTCTCAGCCTTGGGAGCTGCCTTGGCTTTGGCCTTCTTGGCACCCGGGTCGAAGTCCTCGTCATCCTTGGCACCTTTGGACTTCTTGAGTCTGGAGACAGCACCGCCCTTGTACGAGACGCGGCGTCCCTTCTGCCTGATCTCTTTCCGGACTTCATCTTCCAGCCTCAACTGCTCTTCCCACTCAGCGGTGAAAGCATCGAGATCTCTGCACCACAGATCCTTTTCGCTGAGTGCATCGAGTTCATCGTGCTCAGCCTTCTTTGCAGCAATCTGCTGCTTGAGCTTGTCGAGGCGCTCAAAGGTCAACGACCAAATGGGCATCTATCATCATGTTAGTCTTTCCGGCAACATAAGCAGTAGGCTCGATATCACATACCGAAAGGAGATAGTCATAATCGCGGGCTCCGCCAACGGCATCCTCCTCGTCCTCGTTGTCCGCAGCACCGAGCTCCTCATCAGGAGACTTCACATTCCTTCCATCTGATTTCGGAGGGAAGGCCTCGTACTTGCGTTCGCGAAGTTCCTGGACAAGGACCGACTTCTTCTTTTTGGAAACGACGAGCTTGTTCTCAATGATTTCCGAAATAAATCGGTATTGATTCTGCAGCTTGCGGTAGTCCGCATGGTAGACCTTGAGCCAGTGCTTCTTGCGCTCACCGTACAGGTTGAGTCGGTAGTGGTAGTATTCCTCCATGATTTCTTGCGGGTTCTCATACTTGTGGATTTTACCACGGGTATCGAAGGCCACTAGATTTGTCGTAGCCACTGTCTTGGTAAGCTTGAACTTTTCAATAAGACCGTCCCTAAGAGCCGAGGACATGTGCTTCTCCTCAAGGGCGATGATGAAATGGACAGTCTGGTGGTCGTTGTACTCTTTGTAGTCCTTGATCCATGAAGGACTCTTATCGCCACGGATGATCTCTTCCAGCTTGGACTTGAAATCATCGGTCCACATGCGAATGGGCAACTCCGTAACATCAACCTCATTGGGGTTCTGAGGGTTGACCTCCACGATACCGTTGAACTTGAATCTGTTGGGTCCGTCTGGCTCAGGAGTGCCCTTCCAACCACGGAACCACGGAGTCATGGGTTCAAAGGGCTTCTCCTCCCCGTCGCCAGATGAGTCCCTGCCCATGCGACGCTTCAAGTTCTCGACAATGTCAAGAGGGTGGTAGTTGGGAATGGAAGTGCTCCAACCAGTACCGATACCATCTGCACCGTTAACCAAAACCATGGGGATAATGGGAGCATAGACCTTGGGCTCAATCAGTTTGCCATCGTCGAACTGGAATTCTAGATTGGGCTCATCGAGAGGGTGAAAGATCTTTCGCGCCAAGGGAGACAGTCTCGTGTGGATGTAACGAGCGCTGGCAGCATCGGAACCGCCGGAAAGACGCGAACCGAAGTTACCGCTAGGCTCGAGACAGTTGATGTTGTTTGAACCGACGAAGTTCTGCGCCAGACCAATAATCGTTTGCTGCAGAGACTGTTCACCGTGGTGGTAGGCTGCCTCCTTGGACACATAACCGGCCAACTCAACAACCTTTTGATCGTGAATGAGGTTTTGCTTGAAACAGCCGAATAGAACCTTGCGTTGACCGGGCTTCAGACCATCCACCATGGACGGGATCGATCGAATGTTGTCTGCCATACTGAAAAGAATGAGTTCGCGATTAACGAAATCAGTGTAGGAGATCTTCTCGGTCGAATGGTCGAGGTAGGTGCCCGGCTCGCACTTGGCAAGCCACTCTTTACGAGCGTCGGCCTTCTTCTTGGAGAAGGCCAACTCGAACATCTCGGATTCCTCTCTAGTCATGACATCGAACTCCTTGAGATGCTTGTTCAAGTTGGTGAA